AATTTCGAATTCAACTGAATGTTTGGTATAACTGTGATGCAACAACCAATTCGACATTAGATGAAACCATGAATAATCTGAAAAGATACATCAGTATAGATATGGAATCAATAGCAAATGAAAAACTGATGTTCGATTTATTAAAGTTCTCGTTTGAGAACAAACAAAGAAGTATTTTAGGTTTCATACGTTGGATACCTAAACTAGTATCGAATAGTAAACATAATAAAAATCGACTAACAAAGATTGATAATTTTCAATTATCGGCCAATTCAGAACTGATACCACTCACTACGCGGCGCCTAAAAGAATTATTACAAACAACTTCGACAAGCATTTCAGTAGAGGAACGAGAGCAAATGTCAATCGATGATGAAAATTATGACAATTATGTGTCGTCAGACAATGGAAATCAAGAAAATGATCTTGATGACAGTACAGATTCAGATGCAGAGGACAAGGTAAGTCAGACGCCATTGTTTCTATTTTTATCTTTTAAATAAGTACATTTTGCTACAGTTTTGTTGGAGAGTTAGATCATTGAGCTTTATTATTGTCAAGAGAGAGCCGCATATTTTTCAATAGGCAGTAAAAAGAACAGTATGCACTTAACCTTTCTCCACATTCTTCGTTCCACTATAATCATTTTCATGAAGAATATTATCTTCTTAGTTCACGATTGTACAATGTTTTGTCCTTCTGTAGATCAATCAATCATCGAGAACTCATCTCCTGCCCATGGATACACTTCAAATTCATGCAGGTACTAAGACTTCAACAGTATTAAATAAGTCTGAGAATGAAACTGATATTAACCAAGAAAATTATTTTAATGACAGTGTAGCTAGTGATAGCATATCTCAATTGCCACTTCCGATTAAAGCATCGATACCTTCAGAGGACATAGAAGTACTAAAAACGAAGCTTGCTGAGATGGACAAAGAAAACAAAAAAGTAAAAGAGCGGCTTGTACAAGCAAAAACAGAAGTTGCTAGTCTACTTACTTTACATGATGATATGAAAGAAAAAAATCAAACAGAACTAGAAGAACGCAAGAAAGAAATCGATATAATGCGTCTTGAACAAGAAGAAAAAGAACAAAAATGGCTTCAAATCGAGAAACAAATCAAGCAGAAATATGAAGAAGAAATACAGTCACATTCACAAAATATGTCCGTCATCATTGAAGAAGTCACTACGCTAAATGAGAAGCAAAACAGTTTAGAAGAACGAATGCAAACACTGAAACGCAATGAAGAAACCATTAGAAATTGTGAATATTTTGGTTTTCATTCACAAATCATGCATGACTTCATACTACCAAAATTCGATTTACTCATTAATTATATAAAGGAAAGTGTTCCGAATATAGATGAGTATTTCATTGATAAAATACCTAAATTAACATTTGTAGAAATCAATGATGCTACATATGCTATTACTCTCCGTGGCTTTCCGGATCATCATACAGCATTTGTAGCTGCCCGAGATCGAATATTCAATCTTTCAAATTCAGTCAATTCAGCCAAAGAATTTTATCAACGAGACATAAATCGAATTATTCGATCGATAACTAGAACATTGACAACAGTTCAAGCAGATACAAACATTTGGAAACAATATTCTAAAATTCTGACTCAAGTATTAGAGGAAAAGGGCATCGAATATGTCAATAGATTTAATGTTTATATAAAAGGAAAAGCAAAAACATTAATTGAACGATCCATTCTTGGCACTTCAACTCCTCCATGGATTGAGCTTCGAAGAGATACGGATGATTTTCGAAATGAATATCCATTGGTAAACGAAATTGAAGGACTCAAACATCAAGCACTTGACGAATTCATCAAACAAAACATATCATTTCAAAAACTGAAATTCGATCAAACTCCAACAACAAAATCTATAATCACTATTAAAGAGTTTGTCAACCAAATCCAGCTTAAATTTAAGACAGATAAAATATATGAAGGTTATCAGATGCATCATTTCAGTTTGATACCAAACTTGCTACAACAAATAATGATCTATTATTCGTGTTTTGTGGTACAACTACCACTTTTCGAGTCATCACGAGAATTATTAAGTAAGATCGACAAAAATATTGTAACAACAATAACGACATCGACTGGATCAGGTAAAATGTGAAGAAAGAGTTAGAGTGCTTTTTTGGAAGACGACATTGAAAATGAAACTAAATTAGTCAATGAATATCTTGTTTTTTTCTCTAATGAAATCGATTGATTTCAATGTTTTACGAATCATTAATTAGCTCTAGATGGAAAAATTATATTATCTAATTTATTTTTTTAGGAAAATCCACCCTACTGCCATGCCTACTCATCGCAGAAGGGTATGATAAGGTAATTGTAACTCAGCCTCGTCGTTTACCGTGTAGAATGATTTCAAAGCGTGTTAATGAAACTATTCAAACGGATACGAGTGATAGATCACAGAAACTAGCTGGATGGGCTGTCAGTGGTGATCAACATAATCCGAGTGCAAAAATTCTCTATCTAACAGACGGTTTACTCAAAGAACGTCTATTATATGATAAAAATTTTATCACAATTCATACTCGAGTAGACAAGTCCATTGTATTCTTTGTGGACGAAGTGCATGAACGCTCCTGCAATATTGATCTTTGCTTGGCATTACTAGCTCGACTATTAATTGATAAGCCAGATCTTAAATCTAAACTGAAAATTATTATTTCCTCAGCCACACTAGATTCATCAGTGCCGCGACTATTTCGTCAAATACCAAATATTAGTTTTACTGAATTCGAAATGCCACAAATGGATACTCGATATCCTGTGAAAAAAATCGCCCGTCGAAATGAGAATGTCCTGGATATTGTACTGGAATTATATAAAAAACGCGAACGATATGATCAAATTCTTTGCTTTGTCAATTCTGTTTCAGAAGTTAATCAATGTTGCCGTCTACTAGCAGAATTAAGTCAAGGAACAATAGGTGCTGTTGCACTGGTTCAATCTCAATCGCCTAAAGTTCAACAGGCAAACATTGAAACTAGAAGTGTATTCTTTTCGACTACAGTGGCGGAGACATCATTGACATTTCCATCATTAAAATATGTGGTTGATACAGGAATGATCAATGTGCCCGTTTATGATTCAGAATCAAAGCGAACAGTATTAAAAGAAGTTCGAGCAGCTGAATCAACTATAAAGCAACGTCTTGGTCGATTAGGTAGAACAAGACCTGGAGAATATTATTATTTATATGATTTTAATGTCGAGGAACAACGTTATCCTATACCACATATACGTCAATCAGATTTAACAAGTATTGAATTTTCATTAAGAAGATCACCAATTAGAAATGGATTACATTATATGCAAAAATTCTTTCCCGATAAACCAACACAAGAAGCTATGAATGCGGCAGTTGACGATCTGAGAAAACTGGGTGAGTAATGTCAGATAAGATAGAAGCTAATTATTTGCCATACTACCGATTTTAAGCTATTAGTCCCTGTTCTTAATTGAAAAATCCCTTGAATGAAAGAAACTTTGCAGAAGAGTATACCCTAGAGAAAGTACTGAGTTCAGGGTACCCATGTACTGAGAAAGCTCTAGCAGGGTACCCAATATGGGTACTTTGAAAATTCTCAGTAATTTTACTGATGTATGTACTGTTTGGGGTACCCGTAAAAGTACATTCACTGAATAAGTACCTGCATGGATACACAAGTCTGTAACTTTACTGAGGAAATCTCGACAGGGTATCCTAAATTTTTCGCGTTCTGTGTGGCGACTATTCATTCACCGTTTTCTTTTTTTACGTACGGCTCTATATAAACAACTCGATAAATCATAAGAAAATAATCAATTTTCATACTAGTTTTTTTCTAAATTATTTCTTGACTATTTCTTAGTCAAGGAAATGCCGAGCTTGGTCGTAAATTAAGATCGGACTACCCTGAAGTGGTCTACGACCAACTCAAGCTGAGTCGGATCCCGACATTGTTCCTGCTAAGTTTTTGGAATTGAAAAAATTAAATTGAATAAAGTAAAAAAAAAATCTAGTAAATTATCTCAAGAAAAAGAAAAAATTTTAAAAAGTCAAAGATCAGGTTCGATCCTGAACATACTGAAAATTTGGTAACAGGGTACTTAGAAATACTATACAATGGTACCCAATTCAGTACTTGATCAGTACCTTTAGGTACCCAATTACTGTGCATTTTCCAGCAGGGTACTTGCCAAAGTACCACATAGGTACCTGTAAGTACCTGCAAGTACTTTGGTACCCAAAAGTTCCTGTGACATACTGGTATCAGGGTACTTTTTTGGGTACCCTTAACTCAGTATATTCTCTAGGGTAGAGAGCCAATTTTTATGGTATGTTGAAGTTCGCTGTATTTCAGGTATTTTGGAAGCAGCTCCTAGCAATGAGTTTACACAACACGGCGTATGTCTGACCAAACTACCTGATTTTAGTTCATTGGCAATGTCTAAAGCAGTATTGGCTGCTCTTGAAAATTATCATTGTGGACGTGATCTTATATGCCTTTCATCTATTTTAAGCGTTTTAAATACAACAAATGTTTTGAAAAGTTTACCACAGAATATGAAATGTTCGGATGGAGATTTTATGACGTTGTTGAATATTATGAATGATGTTCTATTAGTCAAACAATCTGTTCAAGCGGATCAGTTTGATCTAGATCGCTTTTGTAAAGCTAAAGGGCTAGATTGCATTAGACATATTATTAAACAAGCATTGGATCGTTACACAAGTCTCGAAAAAGCATTTCAGTCGTCAAGTACTTATCGTCAAGAAGCCCAAATACGATCTGGAAATTGGGAATATGTAGCAAAATCATTGTTAGCTGGCTATTCAGATAATGTATTCGTCTCCATGAAAGATTTGCAAGAAAAAACTCATCAATACGGTAGATACAAGGACACCATTGATCTAGCTGTCTTAGACCTTCAATCAACCCTGGTACGCTCTATAAGTGAAGCCCCTGTGTCTATCGTTTTAGCAAGAGATGTTCGTTATTCGACAGCTGTTCGTTCAACAGCGATATTATCATTTATTGGCGAAATTAAACCTTCATGGATTGAATGTCCAACAAAACGAAACATTAAAATTAGTGACGAGGAATTAACTCATCTGCATAGTAAGAACATATTTGCTCGCATTCAATCGAAGATTTCTAATTTGATCCATATGATATTTGGTCACCAAACTATTAATTTAACCGGTAAATCAAGCATCGTTTACAATACTGAATTAAACCTTCGAAAAGAGATTGTAACTTCCATGACATTCGAATTAAAAAACGAATGTAAACCAGGTACACCAGATTATGAGAATTTATCCAGAAATCTGGAAAGCATAACGAAAATGCCATACATATTTAATCCGATGAAATGGCGATGGGAAGCACAGAAACAAGTGAAAATAACGATCAATGCTAATCCAACTACGAAAACTTGTGAAATAACACTTGAAGGAAGAGATTCTGAAAATCGAAATTGTCAAAAGGAGTTTCAATCATTCTTGTCTTGGTTAAAGCGTTGTGTGGTGATTCGACCTCCACATGCAGGTATGTACAAAACTATCAGCTTATGTTTTAATGGTAACATAACAAAGTACTTCACCAATGTAGTTTTCTCTAAATATCTAGTAGAACGTTGTTGAAACTCTATTATGATTGAGTGTTTTCTATTACAGGTGTTCTGCCACGTCTTCTACACCCTAAAATGCGCAAACAGTATCCTGAGATCGAAAAGCGTATTGCCTGTATAACGGATAGTAAACGAACGATGGTCGATCTCTATAACAGTATTAAAGGTCGAGGTGCAACACGTGAAACACGCATGGAAGCTGTAGCTTGGATAGCTGTTTGTAAATTTCATTGTAAATTAGAAGGCGGTTTTGTTCGAGACTGGGTCATTGGTCATTATCGAGAACCACAACAACGTGCAAACAATCCAAAAAGTTGGATTCAATATAGCACAACTCCAAAGGGTCAGCGGATTCCATACATGAATAGAGATATCGTTCCAGCGGATTTAGATTGTCATTTGCCTTTGGATCGCTATTTCGATATTGATAAATTTCGGGATGAATTATACAAATTTGATCTTACATGTGAAGTAATACGAGAAGATTGGAGATATGTTTTACTGATAGACGAAAATGCACCAACCGGTCCGTTTACAATGGATCTCATTGAACCACATGTCGCATTGACGCATGATCGTATTGATCTCGATGTTAGTAATCTTTCATTAGAAAAAGATTATCCACATGAAATAGGAATGCGTATTGATATAACACAATCACCATATTCAATCGAACTTGAAACTATCGTCCAAAATATAATGAATAAACATTTTCAAGTTCTTCGTCCACTTGATACTTTGGTCAATGATCGTATTAAGAAAATGACACAGCGTCAATGGACACAAATAGGAGAGCCAACAAATTACATACCACGGCCTTATGTGAAATATAATGCCGTTTTAGTACCGTTACCACCATCATCAACTTTATATCAAGCACTGTTAGGAACGATCAAAACTATTGGAACTTCTGTGCGAATTATATCGATCGATGAAATAAAAAATCCTCTTCTAGAAGATACATATGAAGCAATGAAGAAAATTATTGCAAGAGAATGCAAAGGAAATCCAAACGAACGGAAACTTTATCATGGTACTAAGGGTGACGCAATCAATGGTATAGTAGAAGATGGTTTTGATGACCGATTTTTCAGTCCGACTGGAGCATGGGGTAAGTGTATCTTAGAGTATTTCATAAATAAATGAATCGGGTGGGTATGTGAGGTGTGTGAACTTTTAAAAATTGTCAATTGTTGATGGATGCAAAGATAAAATGATGGGTTTGTTCATTTGAAGATTTATTGTATTGTTATTGCATAGGACATGGTGCATATTTTGCTGATGATCCTCGAAAATCTCACAGTTTTACAGCCGCAAATTCAACCAATCAAACGCATGTGATTTTTTACAGTAAGGTCACATTAGGCAAAGAATCGATAATGAATCAAGCAGACAATAAATTAACTTCAGCACCAAAAGGTTTTCATTCGGTCCAAGGAACTGCGTTTTCATATCGTGAATATATCGTGTATCGTTATGCACAAGCATTGCCGTACTTAAAAATAACTTACACAGCAAAATAAAAATGAGCCATATTATATTGAAATTTTTCTATTCAATGTTTGCAAAACTCAATAAATCTTAATAATACTTATGTTTCTAACTTTTTGCATAAATTCTAGAAATTATCATATGAAAGAATTCTGAAAACACCGAAAAAAGAAAGATGCCCTACGAGGGTGTTTCGATACATTTAGTTAGTATGCTTTTGACTGGACAGAAATCTGCACCCACTCACTCGTCTAATAAATTGAAAATTTGATTAAATGTCTTTGATTCGTTCTTCTCCTTATTCTCAAGCCTTCAATTTGACAGAGACAGCCCGAATTGAAGATGTCATTTATGAATTTGTATTTTCTATTTAAAAAAAACTTGCGGGTGTGAATATGGCATGTAAGTGTTGATAAACATTCTGTTGCCCACATCCACATCCTCGAAAAGCAGTGAAGTATTTAACATGAGTTTTTCTGTGTTTAGATTCAACCATTGCGGACTTGCGTTAGCGACTATAAGAATACAAGTCTAGTTGGATTTTTATTGATATGCCAACGTCACTGTTGCTTTCTCTTTTGATGAATAAATTGAGTCAGCAGCATCCATATATGCTCTAGATATTTGAGTATTAATTTTGGGTAACTTCGGTGCTAGCTCATATAATAATTCCCTCTTATAGGAATCTTTATCAATATCCGTGATTGCAGGTAATAATATCAAATAATGTTTCACGCCCCGATATCGATTGTCCATCAAGTCTTTGTAAACATTGAACTTCACTCTGTCCGAATATATATTTTCTGCAGCTGCAATTATAATGCGCAAATGTCGAGTGATAAATTGCTCGCGGGACAATAGTGTTTTAAGATCAGCGGCTTTGTAATTGTCATTACTGATATCATTTATCAGTTTTACAGTTGTTTGAAGCTGTTTTTCACATAATGCAGAACGTTTTAAAATATGTTGTAGCAGTTCATATTTTTCACGAGGGTGTGGGTGTGGAGTATGGGTGGATGTGTGGTGTGGGTGTGCATGTGAGTGTGTGGGTGTGGGTGGTGTTCAAATTAAGACTAAAACCCACACCCACACCCACACCCACACCCACACCCACACCCACACCCACATCCACACCCACACCCACATCCACACCCACACCCACACCCACACACCCACACACCCACACCACCCACACCGACACCGACACCCACACCCATCCACACCCACACGCACACCCACCCACATCCACACCCACATCCACACCCGCATCCACTTTAAGTGAAAAAACTAATTGGTTTTGTAATTCAAGTGAAGTTTTATTTTAATTTATTCGAACAGTTTTGATAAATTAGCATTAAATTCAAACGCTATCCAAACGTCAAATGATTGCTGTGACGCAGAAGCGCAGCGGCGTCGTTGTGGCGTCGCCTTGAGCATCGATGCATTTACAGTTAGAGCTCTGGGACCACTCATAGCTAGACTCCTTGCAGACGGTATTTTACTGCATAGAGAGTCAGATGAATTGTTGCCACCAGATTGCCATTTGTGCCAAGGATATACAACTGTACCATCTTGTCGTAAAACTGGTTCTTGTCTTGAATTGATATCCCAGAGAGGACCATGTTCATGTAATGATGGAACGACTAGCTTGACGAATTCAGCGTCAGATGTAGTTAATGGATCGTAAGAATCTTCGGAGCTTTTGAGATAATGCATACCACTATTTCCATTTCCATTCACAATACAAGTATGAACTTCGCAAAAGCGGTCCGTATTATGATTGTGCACCCCAGCATTCGTACCTTTTCCAGCAGCCCATAACTGAATATGACAAAGGTGTTCATTGTTATCAGCAAACTTAATGTTAAAGCCTCTCATATTATAAAATTCGAGACCTTTGAATTTCTCCTTTCCCCATTCAAGTTCATCTACTTTGACAAATTTGAAAGCAAGTTGACGTGCATCTTCTGGAGAACTTTCAGTTAATGAGTTCTCAATCATAACGTTTTGAATGTTGTCGAATCGAGGAATATCATACATGTCTTTAGGTAGTTGTAATGCAATAAAAATTGCACCTTCACTTCCAGTTTTTATTCTGTTGTCATCACTGTGTATTTCAAGAGAACAAGCACTTTTTGGTTTGCAGAGAAATGTACGCGAATGGTTCACGGGTTGCCGTGATTTATTTGAGGAATCTTTCCATGTTATGATTCCTGAAAGAACCTTTATATAGGTATTTTTTCCTACTTGACGCGAACTATAAGGTGGTAAAACTTCTAAGGATAAAGTTATGTTGCCTATCGTTAAAAACGGCAGTACGTGGTATTGTAATACTTTGTTTGGTCTTGGAACTGTGAACAAAAGTTCATCATTTTGTTTCGTCACTTTTAAGTCATTTTTCACTTGTAGCGTCTTGCTGGCTAAACGATTGTAAAATATATTAATTGAAGGATTTTCCGCTGTGTAATAACCGGGAACATAATAGCCTATTGTTGCAAAATCAATAAAGGTATCATTGTCAAAGTCTGCAACGGTGATTCTAGCAGCAGATTCATCACTAACTTTCCATTTGACAAATAAACCACGAGAAAGATCGATAGGCTTATAATAAAAGACACCCTCATTTGGAGCTGGTCCACGAAGTGCAACTAAAAATTCATCATTTCCATCTTTGTCAAAGTCAGCACAAATAATATGATGACCTGGACCTTCGCCATTTTGATCAGGATGTCCATATACATCGAGAACATGTCTTTGCCATTTTATCTGTGTCAGTGAATTGTTGGTTGCTTTAGTGTAGATAGAAACAACATTCCCATGAAAGGGTTCAAGTGCTACAATATAACCAAAAGTGTCACTTCCAAATTTCCCTATGTCTACACCACCACTACCATAGTATTTTGTCTGCTGTTTTTCTCCCTGTTCACCATCGGCGATTTTCTCAATTATCCACGCCCCTGAGTTCTCATTGTAGTAAAGCCAAGTAAGACCTTCCCGTGAAGCAATAAAAAGATTATCCAACAAATGAATTTTAAACATTTTGGCATCATGAATTAAATGAAAATAATCTTTGTCAATAATTTCACAATCCCATGCTTTAGCAGTTAACACATCATCAGGCTGTCGAAATAACAACACAGGCACTGGTACATCGAATGGTCCGTTGACGACTGGCATACCTATAATCTCCCAACGTTTGGTTTGCGTGAAATGACCAATTTTAAGTCTGTGCATTGTTGCTGATTTTCCAACATAATGCTGCTTCCATGGTTCAGTGCTCATATTCTTTCCAGGATTTTCCAACCATACAATATGTCCTCCATCAGGATTGAAGTCGATTATTGTATTTCCATAGTCAAAGCAGATAATAATATCTTTAAATCCATCGCCTGAAATATCAGCTTGATCCATTGCAACAGGAGTAATAAGTTTTTGAATACGAGTTGGTTTGTGGTTTTCTGCATTTGTGTACGGGTTTGAGTAAAAAATGACTTCTCCACGAGAAAGTCCATAAACTATGAACCCAATCGGAGTTTGATCGTCGAGTTGAAAAGCTTCGATCCAGTATGCGTCATTAAGTTGTTCTTCGATCATTTGCTTCTCAAACGAAGGACCATAGCTTCCATTATCGTATTCAAGTGAAGTAACGCCCAAAAATCGCAGGAACATAATGAAATATAAGGCATAATGCACTGTATCCATCGTAACTAAATGCATTGAATAAATTCTCAATTAAGAATAAAACGTAACAAAAGAACGAAGACAGCAGATATGATAAAATATCAAAACAAAGTCATTAACAAAACGAATGAAACACAATTATTAAGAAACTCTTTTTATATCTGTGGTGTATGGCAACGATTGATAGGCGAAAATGGGGCCCGTACCTTTTTCTCTTTCTGTCAATTATTACACAACGGTGAGTGCTGACATATAATGATTGGTTCGAGCAGAACAGTTCTGATTAGAATAATTGTATTTAGTTTTCAAATCATGCGGAAGAAGGGAAGTGGAACTAATAGTTCGAGTATAGAAAATCACGTCCTGCAGCGGTATCACTTTCCTGATTTTTTAGAAGTATTCTGACTTTCCTGATTTTGACTTAAAATCCTGATTTTTCATGATTTATTCTTATAGAACTATGCCTAAATACTTACAATTCATTCTTTTATTATAATCAATTTATTTTTAAAAATTTATTTAAAAATTTCTATAGAATATCTTAAACCAAAAATAAAGATGATGTTCAAATAATAATTATTTCAGTCATTCGTTTTTTTTCGTAATCGGTGTCAGTTGTCAACATTTTCAAACAATTGAGTTTCAAAATAATTAGCTTAGCATTAGCAATCAGAGATGAGTATTGTGCCTTAAAACTAGGTGACTTCTGTACGAAGGTCAGTAATGATCGCGAAACATCGGTAAAGTCGACCGTCAACCTAAAAACTCTTCCCTTAGCTGGTGTGTAGTAGATTCTAGTGGGAAAAAAATGTTTGTAGTTTTTAAAAAGTTCATAGATTGATATGAATGTTCTTTTAAGAACTGGTTGACTGCCAAAACATGTTCTTGTTTGTGTTCAAGATGAATGAAGAAATGAAAAATTAAATGTTACTTTACAAATATTTAATTACATAATATCTCATGCTGATGATTTTTTCACAAACCGACAATTTCTTTCTTGTTGATGACTTTTCGTCCATATTCGAACTGTGCTATCACATACTATATCTCGTACAGAATGAATTTTAGTAGTACTATTCTCATATTGGTCTACTAGAAAGCAACTAAATTGAAAACTTCAATTTCTAAAATGTGGACTATCATTCACGCCTGTTCAGCAATAGTTCAATATAATCAATTAGTTAATATGTTATCAAGTTCTTGAGATAGATGTAATTATTTGATAGGTAATAACTTCGTCAGAGACAAGAGAAAAAAATATCTGGTGGGAAATTTGGAACACACCCATGAGTGATACGTATCAGAATTGTGTAAAAATAAATATTATTAAGACGATAAAAATAGTCAGTTTCATTTTAAATTATTTTCTGTGAGTGACTTAGAATTACTTGGAGCGTGTTTTTTTGCACACATGCCAGATTGTCTTCATAATAAAATTTAATTTTCCTATCAACAAAAAATAGAAAATGCAATCATCCTGAACATGTCACAATTCTTTATATATCGATTTTTCTCTTTGCTGCTCCTGAACATTTATGACGACACAAGTGTAAAACTGACAGCATAAACATTGTTCATCAATTGTCACATTTTAAAATATAGATAAGGCTAACGTATTTCTTGAATAGGTATGGTTTTTTATAGACAGTATTAGAACTATTTTTAAATACATACATATATAATTATATGAACATTTGAATTAATACAATAAATTAAACAATGAGCGATGAACAGATGAAAAAAAATATGCTAAATAAGTTCAATTGATGTAGGTGCACCAATTATGACTAACTCCACCCATTTTTGACTTTCAGCTAAATATTTCAAAAAAAGTTATAGTTAGATGCGAAACAAAGCTCACTTTGTAATTTTAAATGCCGCTTATGATAATCATGCAATTTGAGCTTAAACCAATTTGACTACAAAACAAATAATATCGTTACGTCTCCTAAAAATTGTTGATTTAGATACTTTAAATTGGCCATTATTTCGAATGAATTTGAAAATACATAAAAATATGTACCCACTGAGGGCAGTAATGAAAGCATTGACAGTAGTTAATATAATTTTTTTGCCTAGTATGTCCCCAAAGATGTCATTGTTGGGTACTGATGTTGTTGATGATGTTAATATTGTAATTTTTTTTGAAGTTATTTTGGCGGAAGGTATCTGCTGTCTAATATAGTCTTTAAATGATTTGAATTTAGCAGCTTATGCATACATAAAAATATAGGTTTCTTAAATATTGAGTTTTGGCTAGTGTGTGTGTGTGTGCGTGGGTGAGTATAGAATAAATGAAGACCCACATCCACCAACGTTCACCAGCCACAGTCACACCCCACTTTAATACCGTATAGTAAGCTTCATTTCTCAAGGGTTTCACATGGCCTAATTCGCTAAGCAATCGACTCGATCAAGTGTGCGGCAGGGTAGCGAACAAAAAATTAATGAGTATGTCACATTTTCTGTACCATTCATTAAACTTAGAGTGTGACATTTTTCTTGTATTATCTACGAAATGAAGCAACAAGGTTCTTCTGGTGAACGACGACCAATCAGTGACAATTTGTGCATTTCGTACTGAGCATGACTTTAAGCAATGTTCAATTATTAAAGAGAATATTAAGACAGAATACAAGTATTGTAAAATGTGTCATTGTTCAAATAGTCTCAATGTGTTAAACTGATGTGAACATGTGTATATGACTTTCAGAGATTAAACTTTTTATTGCTGGCAAGTCAACTCGAAAAAATCGGATAGATATTCAAAGGAAACAACGACAATGTATGTAAGTACCACCAACTAAATAATAACGCATATAGGGATAATAGTCGAGTTTTATCTATATAAAGTTTTAGTGCTTTTATAAAGATCTAGAGAAATGGCCTTCATCAACTCATCCGAGTTAAATAAAACAGTTGCGTTTGTAGGAACTCGCGTTTGAGTAGGGCAAATACACATTTTCATTGTACAACGCTCAACAAAAACGTTAAGACACAACAGTAGTGAAGAAAAGATGGAAAATTATCATTCTGAGATGTTCGAATTAAATAAACGAATGACGTTCGTAATAAAAGTGCAAAAATATTTCCATTATCAGATTAGTTTTATCTTCAGATCTTTTTATTGCTTTCTCTGGGTCAACAGGATTTCTAGATAGATAAAAGCAAACGCAACTGTCCACCTTCCCAAAAAGAACTAAAGAGAAATATGTCTTTAATAAAATGTGGATGGACAACCAATTGTTAAATATCCAGAGACAAAGGCAAAACGCAATTCAAATCGAAAATTTTCCAATTTTCGGTTGTAATAGTTCAACTGATTGAAAATTAAGAATTGAGATTGATACATTCTTGATAAAGAGATAAGAAGCAAAATTCAGGTTGACAAATGGCAGAATACCCCTTATACAGGTAGATTTGTCAGTGATAAATGCGTATCAAATATGTAGAAATATCAATCAAAATCAATCTACAAACAATGATTAATCCATGATGATCAATAATACACTTTTGTGATGCTTATTTTGTGCTTTGAGAATGGAAGAAATTATCAAGTTTATGAAATTTAGAGTGATGATCATTTGTTTAATATCGAGTTGAACAGTCAATCCAAGTCTAATTTCGACAATAGCTGGCTGTAAGTATGGACATTCTAATTTATTCATATAATGCTTTTGGATCAGGTAGTTCGTATTTAATAGACACATTACATCAACACGATTTCGTCCGATTATTCTGATGGTTATTGTTAGATTAGCCGTCGTGACCACACCGTAATCTTATGTGTCATTTTTTTTAGAACAGGCTCGTTATCAGCATTATCAACAACGAACTCAATCTGCAGGTGCATAAAAGCATAAGTTAAATGCAGACGACAGGATTAATATTTCGAAGAAAGCGGGCAAATAAATTGTTGCTTAGTTATTATTAGGTTTGGTATCACTGTGTTAAAATTGAGATAAAAAAGCGCGCAAACAACATTTTAGGCGTCTATGTGTAATTTTCGAGTCGAGATTCCGCCACTTGAATTTCTCAAAGTATAAATTCAAAAGTGTTTTTGTCTTTATTTTATTCAAATCGATATTTTTCTAATAGTTTTATAGGCTAATCTCGAATACTTAAAATCGGAATACCCAGTGACTTAAAAAATCAAAAAGACTCATGACTTTCATGAAAATGATGCCAAAAACATGAAAAAAATGGCATTTCTAATGATGAAACGGACACATTTTTGGGTCTTTTTTAAATTCATTGATTAAAAGTACCATTTTAATCAAAATCACAGAGTGAAATTGAGTTTTTATGAAATTCATTCAATGAGTTTGAATAAAAAAACTAATTTTAAACGATGAATTTTAAAAAACCAAAGAATGTGTCCGTTTCATCATCTGAAATGCCATTTTTTCATGTAAACTTTTTAAGAGTTTTCATCGTTACCGCTTAAATATTGATATCTTCGAGTCAAACATAAAAAAGGTAGAAGGTTTCCTTTTTATTAGACACTGAATACATTTTTTTTCAACCAAATAATGCCTATGTTTACCGACTCTTTTGACCAGAGTCCGCATCATCCTAGTGAAAGGCTCCTGTTGATAAGTATTGACCTAAATGAAAAACCTAATTTGAAATCGCCAAATGAATCTTGTGGACGTAATTCAATTGTTTATTTATTGAAAATCAAACTCTTCCAGTATACAAAATGTTCGTTCTATTATCAGTCATAGCGCTTTGAAGTTGTTGTATTGGCCGTCTTCTTATGAGCTGGAGAATATAAGTAGAGATTTCCCGATTGTAGTAGAAAAGTATAAACATATTGACGAGTAGACTAGTGACTGGTAAAAGTATCAAGCCGAAATATAATCGAAGAATGACTATATTAAATTGAACTTTCAACATTGTAAAAATATAAACTGGAATCCAGCCAATAGTGAAGAGTAAGAACATCACTAACATATTCTTGAGCAATTTCAAATCACGTTTCATGA